AGAACAAAAAAAAGTAGAACCGGTCAACTCAACCAAGTTGCTCAGGTTTGAGCGAGTTTAACTGTGTTTGAACTAGTTTGACCAGGTTTAGACGGATTTTGACTAGATTTGATTGCAGTCGAATTATTATCATCACCTTAACTATTTTTAAAACCAAGTATAGTTCAACCAGTTAAACCAACCAAGTTGGACAGAGCCAGGTTTCAAAACAATGAAATTCAATTTCCACGTCAGCCCTTTTTTAAACTTAAATATTTAAAGGGTGAGGTAATGGCAGCTATGGTCTATAGAGGTCAAGTAGAGGTACCGCTAAGATTGCAGAGGCATGCAGCCCGTGGCAATACTTGCAATGGGCTCAGGATCTTGCACTTAGAAGAATTATAGTATCGTGACAACAGTAAATAATGACATTCTTAATCTAAATTCGAGTTTAGGGGCTATCCTGTGTGATTACTGTAGAAGGTTGATGACCTTGTTTCCCTATCGCCATGACCAACACGTCCCGAGAAGGGAATGCTGTGGTTCACGAGTTTGCAAAAGGGCTCTTCATACTGAATTTTGAATGGAGAAGATATTAGAGAGTATTGCACGTATAGTGTTAGGAGAAGAGCTTAATGTTTAAATTATATAATAGAATACAATTCTCTCATATTTTTTAATTTATGTTATCCATATGTAATGTAATTAGAGATAAACATCGGTTCAATTGGTTGAAATCAAGCCTAAACTGACTGTTTCTGTCGGTTGATTTTTTTGTGAGCGAGTAACTGAAAACCAATCCAAATAATACTTCAGTATTCGGTTTTTGAAACCAAATTAGTCAGTTTGGTTGATGTCAGTCTTGGTTTTATCCAATTTTAAAGAATTCAATTTTTGGGCCTGAGTTAGTGATTTTTGGGGCCTTTAGTTTTAATGATTTTTTGGGCCTTCAGCTTTGTTTCCCAAATTTCTAGAATTTTTTTTTTTTTAATCCAGAGATCCAAAGCTGTTCATACATGATCTACTGTAAGATAAAAATGAGTCAAACACAAAATGCGAAGTCTAGATCAAAGCTGTGGTTTTCCAATTGAACTCGAAATCAAGTTTGTTTTAATTGATTATGCATATGAACTGCACAAGTAAAAGGTTGTAATCAAGGAAAAAATGAATCAAACACTAACACTTGAAACACAGGTTTAATATTGCATGAAAAAGGCTGCACTAAACCAAGCACTTAAAACACAATACAAAGGTATAAAAAATTTAATGGCTCTTCTTATATAAGAGCCATACAATATACAAAAGTAACAAAGCAAACAATAAAAATGAACCAAAAAACTCGAACCACAACAGAAAGTAAGCCATTAGACACCATGTCAAAACCAAACCACTAATCAAATATCCACAAAACAAAATGATTAACATGGAAAAAAGGCAAACGTTTGTTCAAGCTGATAAAAATTTGTGCCCGTGCATGTTCTTTTTTGCTGGTGATTAAGAGATCCGGAACAGAAAAAAAAAATCTCATAAAAGATTTCAGCAATTATAAAATCAAAAGAACCAGTGATTACCAATGAAATTCAAAGTTGATGGAATGGGTCGAGGGTATTTCACATTTCGGAGAAGGATGAAGGAGATTAGGCTTTGGGTTATAGAATCATAGAAGGATGAAGGAAACTAAGAGAGAAATACAGAGAGAGAGTAAGGTACAGAGGGTGAGATTAAGAGATAATGAAAACAACAGGAATGGGAGAAGAAATAGAATGAGAAAAAGAAATGGAAGATTAAAGATTGGATTTGTGATTTGTGATTTGATTTGGCTAGGGAGAAATTTTTTTGATCAGAGGAGAGAATGAAAATTTTGAAGAGAATCAGAGAAAAAGCAGGGTTAGGATTAAGTGAATAAGATAGATTATGACTTATGT